TAGTGAGCCACCCAACCATATAGTGCAACCCAGTCTCACGGCATTTCTAGTTATAGTCACGACATTTAATCTATTGATTCGTGTTCACCAACACGATTTTCCCCTTTTTTTCGTGTCACACAGAACGATTCTAAAAGCAATGTATTTCTATTGGTAGTATGTTTCGTGCCTGCAACACGTCTTTTTGTCCGTTCGGGTCTTGGAAGACCGGAAGCTGTGTAGTTCTTCTTCTTCTTCTTCTTCTCTTCATTTTTGGCGGATTGCAAACAACTTAAAAGGTGCATACCGCCACCTACTGTACATGAGTATGAATCATCATATCATACCAACTCTTTAACCTATGATCTAATCAAAATAAATAAATAAATCAACAAAAAAAAAAAAAACATGAAATAAATAAAACAAAAATAAAAATCTATGTTCTTTCTTGACCTAATGTTAAATTATTTTTCCTGCCCCAGTTTCAGGCCGGACCAAAACCGCAACGCGGCGCAGACGGACCCGGTGGAATCTAGGGGTTAGCCTCTTAAGCACGGCGGTCCCCCCATTGGACCCCTCCAACCGTTTTTTTTTCGAGATAATGTCTCAGGGCTTCTTAACATTTATGAAACTATTAATGTGTAGCACCAGATTAACGGGAAGAATCTCAGCTAACTGAAGATATGAACCATTTTTACGTCTTTAAGTCTCATAAGAAGCGTCTAAATCAGGGTTGCCAACTTTGGGTACCTGGCTGGAGTGAGATTTTGATATCATGGGTTTAATTCGGTTTAATTACACATATGCGCACGAAATGACTGCTATCGTGTCAGCAGCGGGACCTTAGCATATAGGATATATATATACAATATATACAAATACACAATAATGGACACAGACTATAAAGGGCACAGTTTCATTCACTAATGAAAGTCAAACATGTTTGTTTCCACTGTTTTATTGTGTGCCTGTCGCGATAAGCAATTAATTGACTTATCGTACGATAAATAAAAATGAACTTGATAACTTTTCTGACCTCGATAAATTGCCATTTACATGAGGATGTGACTAGCAGTTTGAAAGGATGTACTTGAATTATTATTATATATTATCATTATGTCAGTGGTCTAAAATGGTCATACAACGGTGCCGACAATATTATCGTTTATCGCAATAATTTCCGGGAAAATGTATCCAACAAAATTAATTATCGTGAGAAGCCTATACATGAAACACACACACAAACAAATCTACAGACTTACTCCAAACTGCCAAATATATTAATTAACACACTCTCACTCTCATATACTCTTTGACTCTATTTGGCTATAGTAGAACAATAAGCAGCAGACTTTTACTTTTTTATCATTTCTACTGGATCTTAGATCTGCGCATGCGCTCCAGAGTATTTTTGTTGGGTAATCTATGGTAGGGCTAACCCATACAGTGGTGGGGCTCAAGTCAGTATTTGCAATGTAATTACATACACGCTCCCCCGACAGATTACTTCCCTGTCTCAATCCAAATTGAACTGTATGAAATAAAAAGGCACATTTGTCTTGTAGTAAATAAAAAGGGCGACCTGGAGCCAATCCTGCAATTTCCCCACAGGTGAAAGAGTTGACATGCTGAAAACCCAACCCCTGCAGGGGGGTCTGGGGGGATTCTCCCCCAGGAGATTTTTTAAAATACTAACATAAAATACACATTCTGGTACTCTCTTGAGAAGAAAAATAAATAAATCTATTACTACACATTTAAAAAAATGAATGCCATATTAGTTTTTTGTTACTTTGTTCTGAAAGCTGAACCTGCTGCAGCAGTGCTGCTCCTCACAGAGAGAAGAGGGAAGAGGCTGTGTGAATTACTTTACATTGTGGATAAGGGTGGATAGCCCCCATTGTTCTGTGTGTCAAAATGAAAGACAGCCCACACACCTATCAATCATCAAACCGTGGGGTCTTATTTCATCTCTATACATCGATACAACATTACGTGTTGATAGAAATCAACACGTAATGTTGTATCGATGTATAGAGATGTACTACCGCAAAAGTATTCTCCGTCGGGACTTCCTGCAACAACACCACGCCGTTATCGTGATTCTGATTGGCCAGAAGACATTATCAAAGATGTTCTATTGAGAAGACGATCACTACGTGACAAAAGTTTTCAAAACCGTTTCTAGTCTTCGTATTCTTGTTTTTGGCGTGAGAATAGTTTGGGCAGCGTGAGAGCGTGAGATTGAGAGTGAAAGCGTGTGTCACACGCCAGATGCGTGAGAGTTGGCAACCCTGGTCTAAATGACCCCTGAGCGAAAAAATTCTAACGCACTGCGGCACGCAATTCAAGATAAAGATACCCTTATTACTTATCGTAGCTGCACATACAATATAGCCGATTAAAGCTGAGACTCCACTGATTATTTAGGTATAGTATCATCACTGAGCGATCCGAACTTGTGACAGGGGAAGCAAACACAGACATCACAACACGTACCTTTACGGAGCTTTTACGGCAGATCGTCTCACCGTAGCTGTCAATTAGGTCAAAAGACGTGTTCAATGGCATTGAAACGAAAAAAAAAAATGCTCCAACTGTTGATCCATAGCTTGATAATGTGCCTGTGCCTTTGAAGAAATTATTTATAATCCATAATTCCATTTTTTATGTAAAAATCGGAGCGGAAAAGTTAGCTGCTAATGGTAGCCACCAGAGTGTATGCAGCTTCCGGTTTTGGTAACGCGTCACTCTCACTCCTTATTTGTTAACGTTTTGAGAAGGGTCTAGCTGCGGCCGCGGCCAGTACACGACACTACACGACACGCCCCCTACACGACACGCCCACCTGACACGACACTACGGTGGCTGAGAGACATTACCGTACGTGGCAGATTAAAAGCGAATTGACGACACTGACGCTGACGCTGACGCAAGGATATTTAAGGAGACATGAGGTTTACAGAGAACAGACAAACAATATGGCGCACCGAGTACAGGTAATTAACGTATTGTGGTTTTAGATATAATTACATACTATTTAGGTTCTCGTTTGTTTGTCGATGTGGCTGTTTAGCGCAGTGTAATTGTGTTTATTTTGCTAATTTGTATTTTAAATATTAAATGTAAAGGAATGGAATATATATATATATATATATATATATATATATATATATATCTTAGCTCTTAGCTTGACATGCTCGACGTTCAGTTAGCATATATGCTAACTGAACATGCTCGTTCAGTTAGCATGTCAAACTAAGAGCTAAGATATATGTATATATTTTAGCTTGACAGATGGAACAATGCATGTACTCGCATTTTTACAAGAATCTGATTTTGTGTAAGTTTTAAATATTCATTGAAGGTGTCTTTCACATTTGAATGTTTAAAAAAAAAAAACATGTATTAGCTGCTATACTGACATGCACATATGTATAATTATATTATTATTTTATTCCAGTGTATTTCATCCCAATCCACTCCAGTCCTTTCCCTGCAGGCTGTCTGATCCAGGCTGTGTAGTAGCTGCTAACAGAATAAGAGACCTGACAGGTGATGGTCAGACGTTGACCTGGCTGCACAGTCACAGATGCTGGCTGTATCAACTGCTCACACTTCACACCTGTGGAGGGAAACATGTTGAATAGTGAGCGAGGTTAATAACAGTGAGCAGTCAGTGTGAGCGTTCTGTCAGTGTCTCTGCCTCAGTGAGACTCACAGGATCCAGCAGCCAGCAGCAGCAGCAGAGCTACAGAGAACATGGTTGGTGTTGAAGGTGACCTGATGGAGCTTCTCTTCTTCTGCTGCAGCTGACAGCATGATATCAAGTCTTTATAGCAGACTGTGAGGAAGTTCACTTTGCATAGAGAGGGACACTGACAGGCTATACAAGAGGGACGGACTGTCCCGTCTCTAGCAGTCCAAGTTTGGATGTGTTGTTGGACATGTGAAAGAAATGATATTCTTTTTAAAACAATAACTGAAAGTTCATTGTTGTATTCTTCACAAAGCTTCTAACAGACATATCAGGCAAACAGACTCACATTTACACTCAGATTAACAGAATATTACATTTCAGCTTTGACTATATTTTGTGAAGCTACAATCTGAATGTAACAGTTTTATTAAGACAATGTTTCTTTTAGTGTCTTGATGATGTTGAACTGAAGCTTTTTCTGTGGTTGTGAGAAGCAGAACACAACGTTTTGACTTGTTGACATTTTGATCAGTTGCTGGTTGCACTCAACAGAGATCGTCCTCCTCCCTGTCAATTAAGAGCGTCACACTGTTAGAGCAGCATCTGCATCGCTCTCCTCTGTCATCATCCTTCTGGATCTTTCTGCTGTGTTTTTCATGGTAACCCGCAAGATCCTTCTTCACACCCTCCAAGAACTATTGGAGTCTCAGACTGTGTACTCCCCTGCTCACATGTTATATTTAGATATTTTGTTGTGTTCAATATAATATGTAGTTATCACATGCAGAGGCCTGAGAAAAGACATTTGGGGATCTCTTCGTCATTTTGATCACTCAAATGTTTAGGGAGCCTCCGGTATTATAAAAAAAGAACCCCTAGCTATAGGGTCTTCTTATAACACAGAGGAAGAAAAACACATTCGGTCATGAACTTTCTCACTGAAGTCAGATTCAAACTCAAGTAGGAAGTAAAAAACACAAAATAATCTACATTTGGAGTTTTTCTTTTTTTAGTGGAATTAGTGACATAATTCCTCCTGGCTCTTACTGCCATGATATTTTAAACTTTCTGCTGTACCCCGTTAGACATTGTTAAAAACAAAATCTTCAAGGTTTTTGCATAACTTCACTGGGGACTTCCACCAGTGTCGCCCTATTGAGGTAACCTTTGACCCTGACTTTTTTTTTTCTTTTAACACTAAAGACGTCTTGTGACAGAAGCATTGCGTGCAGGGAAGTATTCACATCTTGTGTATATAAAATATCCTGAATTAAGGTGAAAAATGACTTGCACTCTCTATTGGTTAATCCCACTGAAAAACTCACTGGTTTTTGTACAGCTCTGTGGCTTCCTGTATCACTGTGTGTCGAGCACAGTAATAAACAGCAGAGTCTACAGCCGTCAGACTGCTCATCTGCAGATACACCTGCTGTCTGTTGTTGTCTCTGGAGATGGTGAACCGGCCTTTCACTGACTCAGAGTAGAACTGGAGGGCACCGCCACTCTGGATATAAGCAACCCACTCCAGTCCTTTTCCAGGAGCCTGTCTGACCCAGTGCATGTCATAGCTACTGAATGTGAATCCAGAGGCTGTACAGGTCAATCTGTGAGATTCTCCAGGCCTTTTAGTCACTGGTTCAGATTCTGTCAGAGTCTGACCATCAACACCTGGAAAGAGGATAAAAGTCACATGAATTTAGTTGGCACACAAATAAGATATATGTCAAATAATTATTGGTGAAAATATTGACCTGCCCAGCAGACAGTGAGCAGCAGCAGTCCTGTCCTATAGTCCATCATGTTAAACTGTGTGTCCTCTGTCCTCTGTCCTCCTCTCTGCAGTCACATAAGTAGAGGGGGAGATATCTGAGTTTTGCATTGACTCCTCCTTTCTGATTGAACATTGTCCTCTTTTAATAGTATTTTATGTTAAAAACATTATCTCTCACATTTTAAATTGGTAAACATTTCTTATTGGGCTGTAAGTCACTTTGTAACATTTTAATATTGTTATGTAATTCAGATTTGTCAGATGAAACAAACAAATAATGGCTTTTAATTGATTAAAATAAAGGTATTAACATTATTGTCATTAAAAAATGCTTTGAGTTAATTTAGTAAATAAATCACTTTACAGGTTTTATCAACATCTCATGTCTTTAACATTTATATTTTTAATCAAAAATTATGTTTTGTGTCAAATAAAGAACAGAAATGCATGCATTTGTTTTTGGAAAGAAACTCTGACATCCAACAATGTTTTGTTGTGTTTTGTCTCGTAGATGTACTGTTTAGTATTTGTGAATAAATAGTGTGAACAATATTCTTAGAGCTGAAATTGGTTGTAAAGAAACTTAAATTTAGAGGACTAAATGGAATTACTGAAAATATATAATACTGGATACTTGAAAAGGCTGATGTTTAACAATTTAAAGAAGAGTTATTCATTTTTTTATTCTGGGAATACATACAGTAATGTATCAGTGAGTATAACCTCTAAATGTTTAAACTGATGATGTAACAATGAGCTGGTGTTGAGATCATTTCTGGTCTGAGGGCTCCTCCTCTGGTGGCTTCATGTTACAAGTGTTCAGGCTCTGAGGGGTTTTTGTTCAGCTCTACTGATGGTGTGTGTCACAGTGTGTATCTGGCACAGTAATACACAGCAGAGTCTCCAGGCTGCACGCTCTGTCCGTTCAGAGTCACTGTGTTGCTGGAAGAGTCTAAGTCGATACTGAACTTGTTCTTCAGTGAATCTTTGTAGTATGTAGTTGAACCAGCTCCCATTCCTATCCACTCCAGTCCTTTCCCTGCAGGCTGTCTGATCCAGGCTGTGTAGTAGCTGCTAACAGAATAAGAGACCTGACAGGTGGTCAGACGTTGACCTGGCTGCACAGTCACAGAGGCTGGCTGTATCAACTGCTCACACTTCACACCTGTGGAGGGAGACATGGTGAATAGTGAGCGACGTTAATAACAGTGAGCAGTCAGTGTGAGCGTTCTGTCAGTGTCTCTGCCTCAGTGAGACTCACAGGATCCAGCAGCCAGCAGCAGCAGCAGAGCTACAGAGAACATGGTTGGTGTTGAAGGTGACCTGATGGAGCTTCTCTTCTTCTGCTGCAGCTGACAGCATGATATCAAGTCTTTATAGCAGACTGTGAGGAAGTTCACTTTGCATAGAGAGGGACACTGACAGCCTATAAAAGAGGGATGGACTGTCAAATCAAATCAAATCAAATCAGGTTTTATTTATATAGCACATTTAAAAGCGATTTTTGGTCGAGCCAAAGTGCTGTACATGTAATAAAAACACATTACTACAAATCACAATAAACGACAATAAATTACAACAGATATATCTTAAAAACAAAATAAAAATAAAACACACGGAAAAGTCAGGAGTCGTGATTTGGATTTGTGTTTGGACATACAGTATGAAATAACATTTATATTTTTAAACAATACATGAAAATTATCTTTTTATTTCCAATCAAACCTCAGACAAACAGTATATTTATTGTCTGATGTAACTTTTGGTAGCTGCTATCTGATGGAAGCAGTTTTATTGAGGCGATATTTCTTTCATTGTCTTGATGATGTTGATCTCAAGCCTTTTTGTGATTGTGAGAAGCAGAACACAAAGTTTTGAATTTGTATTTGAACTTGTTGAGTTTTTGTACAGCATTTCTCCTTCCTGTGTCACTGTGTCTCTCGAGCACAGTAATAAACAGCAGAGTCTACAGCCGTCAGACTGCTCATCTGCAGATACACCTGCTGTCTGTTGTTGTCTCTGGAGATGGTGAACCGGCCTTTCACTGACTCAGAGTAGTACTTGGTGCTACCGCCATTGTCGTTAAAAGCGATCCACTCCAGTCCTTTCCCAGGAGCCTGTCTGACCCAGTTCATATGGTAGCTACTTAATGTGAATCCAGAGGCTGTACAGGTCAATCTGTGAGATTCTCCAGGCCTTTTAGTCACTGAATCAGATTCTGTCAGAGTCTGACCATCGACACCTGTCAAGAGCATACAAACACATCTGGTGAAATAAGTTGTTGACACAATTAGAAGCTGTGTTAGATAAAGATCAGTAAAGATGCTGACCTGCCCAGCAGACAGTGAGCAGCAGCAGTCCTGTCCTATAGTCCATCATGTTAAACTGTGTGTCCTCTGTCCTCTGTCCTCCTCTCTGCAGTCACATAAGTAGAGGGGGAGATATCTGAGTTTTGCATTGACTCCTCCTTTCTGATTGAACATTGTCCTCTTTTAACAGTATTTTATGTTAAAAACATTATCTCTCACAATTTTAAATTGGTAAACATTTGTTATTGGGCTGTAAGTCACTTTGTAACATTTTATTATTGTTATGTAATTCAGATTTGTCAGATGAAACAAACAATGGATTTTATTTACTGTTGATTCAAATAAATGTATTAATTTCATTTCAAACCTTTATTTATCCAGGTTGTATCCCATTGAGATCATTGATCTCTTTTTCAAGTGAGACCTGCTCAAGTAGGTTCCACATGAAACATTAAAACATAAACAGAACAACAAAAGGACATCATACAGTGTCATTACAGGGATTACAATTTACATAACTATCCACATGAACAGGTACCAACAGCTTCCGATTCAGTAGCATCCAACCGAGCTTTAAAAACATTTAGTGGCACCAGATTGCTCAGTTTCCATTTCAATTGCAGACTAGTCCAGGACAGTGGAGCTGCGCATCTAAATGCTATCTTCCCTAAGACAGTCCTAGCAGTTGGCACATTTAAAAAAACCACAGCATGCGATCTCAGGCAGTAGCCACTTACAATTCGCCGTGAGATCAGGGAGCAGATGAAGGATGGAAGTTTCCCTAACATGGCTTTATATATAAAAATGTACCAGTGACTGAGCCTCCGTACAGTTAGCGAAGGCAAACCAGCCCTTGCATACAGGGTACAGTGATGGGTTAATGCTTTACAGTTTGTCACAAATCTCAGTGCACTGTGATACGCAGCATCTAACTTGACCAGGCAATTGGCAGGTGCATTCATATAAATCAAATCACCATAGTCCAGCACAGGTAAAAAGGTCACAGAGACTAGCCTTTTCCTGGCCTCGAGCGAGAAACAGGACTTGTTCCTGTAGAAGAAACCTAGCCTAACCCTCAGTTTTTTAAGCAGGTTATTGACATGACGTTTAAAAGTGAGACAATCATCAAGCCAGATACCAAGGTATTTGTAACAGGCAACCACTTCAAGTTTTATTCCTTGCGTAGTTACAATATCTAAAACAGGCTCTGGTGTCTTTTTAGCTTTTGAAAAGAGCATTACCTTGGTTTTATCAACATTTAAAAGAAGCTTTAGTTCAGAGAGCTGAGTCTGAATAATGTTAAAAGCAGCTTGCAATTCAACAACAGCCTCCTTAATGGAGGGACGTGCACAGTACATAACGGTATCGTCCGCATAAAAATGTAAGGTTGCTCCATCGACATTTTCACCTAAACTATTGATGTAGATGGAGAATAAAAGTGGACCTAAAACAGAACCTTGAGGAACACCATTAGTAATGTTTAACCACTCAGAAGACAGCCCATCAAAATGAACACATTGGGACCTTTCAGAGAGGTAGTTCACAAACCACCCCACTGCATGGCTGGATATGCCAATACTGAGTAGCCTCTGCTTTAAGATGCGATGATCGACGGTATCAAACGCTTTGGAAAGGTCAATAAATAGAGCTGCACAGCTCTGCTTATTATCTAAAATACTCGCCACATCATTCACCACTTTCATTGTGGCAGTGATGGTGCTATGTTGCTTTCTGAAGTCTGACTGATGTTTAGACAGGATGTCATTTGTACATAAAAACACCTTTACCTGCTCACTCACTAGGCGTTCAAGAACCTTAGCCAGAACTGATTATTTAGAGATGGGCCTATAATTATTTAATAAAGTGGCCTCCCCACCTTTTAGTAGAGGCAGGACATACGCTGACTTCCACAATTTTGGAATTGTGTTTGTGCTGAGGGAGAGGTTAAAAAGAGTAGTGAGAGGTGGAGCAATAAAATCTGCAGCTATCTTTAAAAAGAAAGGTTCTACGTTGTCCGGGCCGGCCGGTTTCTTAGGATCTAACTTGGTTAAAGCTTCACGAACAACATCAACAGTAAAAGGAGTAAAACTAAAAGGGTTTTCCAAAACACGTTTTTCAGAGTCACAGACTGTGGTGTTCACAGAAGCAGAGTTAGTCACAGAATCAAACAGAGAGCCACAGGACACAAAATGCTCATTAAAACAATTTAACATAGTGGCCCTGTCCGATATAGTGCCAGATGCTGTGGTAATGCACGGAGGTAGCTCATTACGGATATCACCGGTGGATATCGATTTTACATGTATGGCTTTCCAAAATTTTCCAGGATTATTCAGGTTCTTTGTGGTAACTGACAGATATTACTTCGACTTAGCACTTTTTATTTGTGATGTGAAGCTATTTCTTAGCTGCCTAAAGCGTAGCCATTCTACCTCTGAGCCTGATTTCCTGGCCTTTGCCCAGGCCTTGTTTCTCTCATGTAGGAGACTAGATAAGTCAGCAGAAAACCAAGGGTTGTCTCGTCCCTTCACTCTAAATTTACGCAGGGGTGCATGTCTATCTATAATTTCCATAAAACCAAGATAAAAATAAGACCATGCAGTTTCTACATCAGCACACAGATCGATTTTACCCCAATCAAAATCAAACAGATCATGTACAAAACCCTGCTCCACAAAATGTTTTTTGTCTCTCTTACTGATAATGCGAGGTTTAACCTTTTGGACTTTTGTGTCCCTAATTGTGGCTACAACACAGTGATCACTCAGATCATTTGCAAATACTCCCACAGATAAGTATTTATGGGGAACATTAGTTAAAATTAGATCAATTAAGGAGGATTTATTTGGGGACTTAATGTTAGGGCCAGTAGGACTGTCTATAATCTGAGTAACATTCAGAGAGATACAAAGGTTTTTAAAATCCTCTGACACAGAAGTTAACCAGTCCCAATTAAAATCACCAAGCAGCACTATTTCCTTGTAGTCAAGTTGAGATAAAAGTTTTGCCAATGAAGATAAAGAGTCCTTGACAGCTGAGGGGGGTCTGTAGCAGCCCACCACCATGAGCTGTTGACCCTTTGCTACTTCAATATTTAAGGCTAAAAATTCTAGTTGTTTACTAATAGATTTGGAAACCATCTTGGTTACACAAAACTTATTTTTCACATAAATGGCAACGCCACCACCTTTTTTAGGACGGTCGGTACGATATACACTATAACCATTTAAGTAGATGTCAGAGGCCAAAATAGATTTATCTAGCCACGTTTCTGATAAGACAATGATATCAGCATCAGTCGAGCTCGCCCAAATGCGGACAAAATCTAACTTAGGTAACAGACTGCGCACATTTAAGTGAATGAATCCCAACCCAGATCGAGAAATAAAATCAGCAGGAGTAGCTATCTGACTACTACTGCTACTGGGCGGTCCAGGGTTTAGTTGTACATTCCCTGATAGTAATAATAGCAAAAAAACAAGCACCTTTTCCTCTTAACCGACACACATACATTGTCATCTGCTTTAAAGTCACCAGCAAACTCCGCGAAAGTGAGATTAGAGCTCAAGAAGCAGTCCTGAAGAACCATCATAGCAGGCAAGTGAGAAAGACAAACATTTGTCGAACTGAATGTCTGTGACAAGGCAACCAGTAATTGTTTGTGTAACACATCCGAACCTTTACAGGGGATGTCCACTGCGGGCGGTAGAACAGACCTGAACCCAGTCGACTTCTCAGGATGACGAGAGAACTTCTCATTGTCCAAAATAGCTAACAGGCATAGCAGAATCACGATAGGGGCCATTTTCCCAGACCAGCACAGCATCCGGATAGGCGCGCAAGCAGGCCCGAAACGTGGAGGCGCTCTGGTCTCTCCGCGATATCCCCGGTGCAAAACCTCCTCAGCACAGCAGGATAGGCGAAGCAGGCCCAGCTCGAGGCGTAGAGGCGCTCCGGTCTCTCCGCGATATCCCCGTGGTAAAACCTCCTCGGCACCGTAGAGCACGAGAGGTGGACCAGGTGGATACAGGCCTCCGCTACAGCAGGTGTAAAGCAGGCCGCAGCCCGAACGCGAAGCCGCTCCGGTCTCTCCGTTACGTCAAAATCTCACCAGGACAGCAGCACACGACCTCTCTTGTCCGATGATTAATATTATTGTCATTAAAAAATGCTTTGAGTTACTTTAGTAAATAAATCACTTTACAGGTTTTATCTACATCTCATGTCTTTATTATTTATATTTGTTATCAAAAATGTCATTTTGTGTCAAATAAAGAAACTCTGAAATCCAACATTTTTTTGTTGTGTTTTGGCTCGTAGATGTACTGTTTAGTATTTGTTAATAAATAGTGTGAACAATATTCTTAGAGCTGAAATTGTTTGTAAAGAAACTTAAATTTAGAGGACAAAATCCAATTACTGAAAATATATAATAGAATAGAATTTTTTTATAGAATAGAATTGGGAGGGATGAAACCCTCTTTAATGGTCACACATGCAGAGCACACAGCACACACAGTGAAATTTGGCCTCTGCATTTAACCCATCCTAGTACCAGGAGTCTAGTACTAGGAGCAGTGGGCAGCTATTGTTCAGCGCCCGGGGAGCAATGGGAGTGAGGGGGGGAAGGGGGGTGTCCGGTGCCTTGCTCAAGGGCACCACGGCAGGGCAGGAGGTGAACTGGGACCTCTCCAAGTAGCAGTCCACAATCAATTTTTAGGTCTGGTCGGGGACTTTGAACCGGCGACCCTACAGCTCCCAGTCCAAGCCCCTACTGACTGAGCCACTGCCGGACAATACTGGATACTTGAAAAGGCTGATGTTTAACAATTTAAAGAAGTGTTAATCATGTTTGTATTCTGGGAATACATACAGTAATGTATCAGTGACTATAACCTCTAAATGTTTAAACTGATGATGTAACAGTGAGCTGGTGTTGAGATCATTTCTGGTCTGAGGGCTCCTCCTCTGGTGGCTTCATGTTACAAGTGTTCAGGCTCTGAGGGGTTTTTGTACAGCTCTACCGATGGTGTGTGTCACAGTGTGTATCTGGCACAGTAATACACAGCAGAGTCTCCAGGCTGCACGCTCTGTCC